AACAAGTGGTATTTGTCCCTTTGGGATTGGCTTATTTCACTCAGCATAATGTTTTCCAAATTCCTAACAGGGATCACTTTTCAGTTAAAATTTAAACACCTAAGGATAATTGTGTGTTAATTACAGAGTTCAACCAATGGTACTAGAACAAAAAAAAATACTAAAATGGATAAAGTGTTACATTGTACATCAACCGTGAGGACAAGAGCTGATCAAGTCACTGTTTCTCATAGTGTCCATTTCATTTCAATAAGTTTCTCCTTTGGTGCTCAGTTAGTTGTTGCCAATCAGAGAGAACATATGATATTTGTCCCTTTGGGACTGGCTTAATTCAGTCAGCATGATGTTTTCCAAATTCCTCCATCTTGTTGCAAATGATCGGGTTTCGTTGTTTTTGACTGCTGTATAGTATTCTATAGAGTACATGTCCCATAATTTCTTTATCCAGTCTACTGTTGATGGGCATTTAGGTTGGTTCCAGGTCTTAACTATTGTGAATTGAGATGCAATAAACATTAATGTGCAGACGGCTTGTTTGTTTGCCAATTTCATTTCCTTTGAGTACATTCCAAGGAGTGGGAAGGATGGGTTGAATGGCGGGGTTATATTCAGGTTTCTGAAGAATCTCCAGACTGACTTCCATAGTGGCTTAACCACTTTGCATTCCCACCAACAGAGGGTTAGTGTCCCTTTTTCCCCACATCCTCGCCAGCATCTGTTGTTGGTAGATTTCTGTATGTGAGCCATTCTAACTGGGGTGAGGTGAAACCTCATTGTGCTTTTGATTTGCATTTCCCTGATTGCTAGTGATCTTGAACATTTTTTCATGTGCCTGTTGGCCATTTGGATTTCCTCTTTTGGAAAATGTCTATTGAGGTCCTTGGCCCATCTCTTCAGTGGGTTGTTTGTTTTGATCTTGTGGAGTTTCTTGATTTCTTTGTAGATTCTGGTTATCAACCCTTTATCTGTTGCATAGTTTGCAAATATATTTTCCCATTTTGTTGGTTGCCTCTTCACTTTCCTGACTGTTTCTTTTGCAGTACAGAAACTTCTCAATTTGATGCAATCCCAAATGTTAATTTTGGCTTTGACTGCCTGTGCTTCTGGGGTGTTTTCCAAGAAGTCATTGCCAGTACCTATATCTTGCAGGGTTTTTCCAATGCTCTCTAATAATTTGGTGGTGTCAGGTCATATATTTAAGACTTTAATCCATGTTGAGTGAATTTTTGTGTAAGGTGTAAGGTACGGGTCTTGCTTCATGATTCTGCATGTGGAAATCCAATTTTCCCAGCACCATTTATTGAATAGACTGTCCTTACTCCAGGGATTGGTTTTGGATCTTTGATCAAATATGAGTTGGCTGTAGATGTTTGGATTGATTTCTGGTGTTTCAATTCTGTTCCATTGGTCTATCCATCTGTTTCTGTACCAGTACCATGCTGTTTTGATTACAACTGCCCTGTAGTATGTCCTGAAATCTGGTGTTGTGATGCCTCCAGCTTTTTGTTTTTGTTGTACAAGATTGCTTTAGCTATTCGAGGTCTCCTGTGTCTCCATATGAATTTCAGCATCATTTTTTCCAGATCTGAGAAGAAGGTCTTTGGTATCTTCATTTGGTATTGCATTGAATCTGTAAATTGCTTTTGGGAGAATGGACATTTTGATGATATTGATTCTTCCAATCCATGAGCATGGAAGATTTTTCCATTTCTTGGTATCCTCTTCTATTTCTTTCTTTAAGGTTTTGTAATTTTCATAGTAGATCCTTAACGTCCTTGGTTAAGTTTATTCCAAGGTATTTGATTGTTTTGTAGCTATTGTGAATGGGATTGATCTTAGAAGTTCTTCCTCAGCCATGGCATTGTCTGTGTATACAAAGGCTGTTGATTTTTGTGCATTGATTTTATACCCTGCTACTTTGCCAAACTCTTCTATGAGTTCCAATAGTCTCTTAGTGGAGTTCTTTGGGTCCCCTAAATAAAGAATCATATCATCTGCAAAGAGGGATAGTTTGAGTTCTTCCTTCCCAATTTGTATCCCTTTAATTTCTTTTTCTTGCCTAATAGCTCTGGCTAGAACCTCCAGAACTATATTGAATAGCAGTGGTGAGAGTGGGCATCCCTGTCTGGTACCAGATCTCAGTGGAAATACTTCCAACTTTTCCCCATTCAATAGGATGTTGGCCGTGAGTTTTTCATAGATTGCTTTGATTGTATTGAGGAATGTTCCTTCCAAACCCAGTTTGCTTAGATTTTCATCATGAAAGGATATTGTATTTATCCAATGCTTTCTCTGCGTCTATTGAGATAATCATATGGTTTTTCTTCTGCAGTCTGTTAATGTGGTGTATCACATTGATTGTATTGCGCACATTAAACCATCCCTGCATACCAGGGATAAATCCCACTTGGTCTGGGTGGATGATTTTTCTGATGTGCTGTTGTATTCTATTGGCGAGAATTTTATTGAGGATTTTTGCATCTATGTTCATCAGGGATATTGGTCTGTAATTCTCTTTCAATGCTGCATCTTTTTCTGGCATAGGAATTAAGGTGATGCCGGCTTCATAGAAAGAATTTGGGAGGACTCCCTCTTTTTCAATTGTTCTGAATAGTTTGAGAAGAATTGGAGTCAGTTCTTCTTTAAATGTCTGGTAGAATTCAGCAGTGAATCCATCTGGTCCTGGGCTTTTCTTTGTTGGGAGGGCCTTTATTACTGTTTCAATTTCTGTCTCAGTTATGGGTCTGTTTAGGTTTTCGATGTCTTCCTGGTTCAATTTAGGTAGATGGCATGTGTCCAGTAATCTATCCATTTCTGATAGGGTTCCCTGTTTGCTGGCATACAAGTCCTTGTAGTAGTTTCTGATGATTCTTTTTATTTCTGTGGTGTCTGTTGTTACGTTTCCTTTTTCATCTGTGATTTTATTGATTTGGGTCTTTTCTCTTCTTTTTTTAGTCAGTTGGGCCAATGGGGTGTCAATTTTATTTATTTTTTCAAAAAACCAGCTCTTTGCTTGGCTGATTTTTTGTAATTTTTTTTTTGGATTTAATCCTGTTGATTTCTTCTCTGATTTTAATTATTTCTCTTCTCCTACTAGATTTGGGTCTGGTTTGCTGTAGGTTTTCTAGATCCTTGAGGTGAATTGAAAGCTCATCTGTTTGGTGCCTTTCCAATTTCTGCTTTTGCTGCATCCCATAAGTTTTGGTATGTTGTGCTGTTATCCTCATTTACTTCCAGAAAGTTTTTGATTTCTCTTTTGTTTTCTTCTATGACCCATTGTTTATTCAGGAGCATGTTTTTTCAATCTCCATGTGTTTGCGTATGCTCTAGGGATTCCTGAGTTGCTAATTTCCAACTTCATTCCTTTATGGTCTGAGAAGCTGCATGGTATGATTCTAATTCTTTTGAATTTGCTGAGACTTGCTTTATGGCCTAGTATGTGGCCAATGCTAGAGAAGGTTCCATGTACTGCTGAGAAGAATGTAAAATCTTTAGCTGTAGGATGGAAAGTTCTGTATATATCTGTTAGATCCATTTGGGCTATAGTGTCAATTAAATCTACTGTATCCTTGTTGATCTTCTGTCCTGTTGATCTGTCTATTTCTGAGAGTGGAGTATTGAAGTCCTCCAGTACTATTGTATTGTGGTCTAAGTCTCCCTTAAGTCCCTTAACAAATCTTTTAAATAAACTGGTGCCCTGTAATTAGGTGCATATACATTGATAATTGTTATATCTTCCTGTTGAATTTATCCCTTAATTTTATATAGTGTCACTCTTTGTCTCTCTTAACAGTTTTTGTGGTAAAGTTTATGTTGTCCGATATTAAGATGGCTACGCCCGCTCTTTTTTCATTTCTGTTGGCATGGTATATCTTTTCCAGCCTTTCACTTTCAGTCTGTATGCATCTTTGTTGGAAAGATGTGTTTCTTGTAAGCAGCAAATAGATGGGTTTTGTTCCTTAACCCAATCAGCCAATCGGTGTTTTTTAACTGGACAGTTCAGGCCATTCACATTCAATGTGACTAATGATAAGTGGTAACTTTGCCATGCCATTTGCCAAAGATAAGTTCTAATATATGCTTTGAATTCCCTGTGATCTTTTTCTGTGAGGTTTCCTTCCTTTACCTTCTTTCATATTGATGACCGTGTTTCTGTGTTTCTGTGTGTAACACATCTTTAAGCATCTTTTGCAGGGCTGGACGAGTGGCAACAAATTCTTTCAATTTCTGTTTGCAATGAAAAGTCTTTATTTCACCTTCATTCACAAATGATAGCTTTGCAGGATATAATATTCTGGGCTGGTTGTTGTTCTCTCTTAGTACCTGGGCTATATCTCGCCATTCCCTCCTAGCTTGTAGGGTTTCTGATGAGAAGTCAGCTGTGAGTCTGATTGGAGATCCTCTGAGAGTAATCTGATGTTTCTCTCTTGCACATTTTAGGATCTTTTCTTTATGTTTCACTGTGGAGAGTTTAATTACAACGTGTCGTGGTGAGGATCTCTTTTGGTCGTGTTTATTAGGGGTTCTGTGAGCTTCCTGTACTAGGATTTCTCTGTCCTTCTCGAAACCTGGGAAATTTTCTGCTAATATCTCACTAAAAAGGCCTTCTAATCCTTTCTCCCTCTCCATGCCTTCAGGAACTCCTAGAACCCGAATGTTGGGTTTTTTAATAGTATCCTGAAGATTCCCGACAATATCTTTTAGATTTCTAATTTCCTCTTCTTTTCTTTGGTCTGACTGTATCCTTTCCTGTTCTCTGTCTTCTAAGTCCGATATTCTCTCTTCTGCTTCACCCATTCTGTTTGTAAGGCTCTCTAATGTGTTTGTCATTTGATCTATTGAATTCTTCACTTCATTATGATTTCTCGTCACTATCACAGTTTCCTGTTGTACTAGTTGTTTCATTTCATTTTGATTCCTCCTTAATATTTCATTTTCTCAGCCGGAGGAAGCAGCGCGGGCCCGAACAGTCGTCGGCCCGCCACCTCCGCCGACGCTGCGCTGCGATCCCACAGTGCTGGCCAGGCCCGAAGTGGTCTGGCCTGTTTGGGCTCAGCGGCTGCAGGGCCGTGGTTTCCGATGGAAATCATATGACAGAATACTTGGATGACATTTATTTGAAAGATCTTCAAGAATTACAGAAGACAAAAAAACACTAATGCGTTTGAGAAAGCGGTAAATTTTGGGGGAGGGGGACAAAGCAACTGCTTTCTGATCTGCAACTTGGCTGGATGCTAAGATGTCCGTGGACATGAATAGCCAGGGGTCTGACAGCAATGAAGAGGACTATGACCCAAATTGTGAAGAGGAGGAAGAGGAAGAGGATGAGGACCCTGGGGACATAGAGGACTATTATGTGGGAGTAGCCAGTGATGTGGAGCAGCAGGGGGCCGATGCCTTTGATCCTGAGGAGTACCAGTTCACCTGCTTGACCTACAAGGAGTCCTGAAGGCGCCCTCAAGGAGCACATGACCAGCTTAGCCTCTGTCCTAAAGGTATCTCATTCAGTTGCTAAACTTATATTAGTTAATTTCCACTGGCAAGTCTCAGAGATTTTGGACAGATACAAGTCCAATTATGCTCAACTGCTTGTTGAAGCCCGAGTTCAACCTAATCCATCAAAACATGTCCCCACAGCCCATCCCCCTCACCACTGTGCAGTGTGTATGCAGTTTGTGCGGAAGGAAAACCTACTTTCTTTGGCCTGTCAGCACCAGTTTTGCCGCAGCTGCTGGCTCAGGACTGTCCACTTCGTACACCAGAGGACTTTGTGTTTCCGTTGCTTCCCAATGAAGAACTGAGAGACAAATACAGGTCCTACCTCTTCCGGGACTATGTGGAGAGTCATTACCAGCTCCAGCTGTGTCCTGGTGCAGACTGTCCCATGGTTATTCGAGTACAGGAGCCTAGAGCTCGCCGAGTGCAGTGCAATCGGTGCAACGAAGTCTTCTGTTTCAAGTGTCGTCAGATGTATCACGCCCCCACAGACTGCGCCACAATCCGGAAATGGCTCACGAAGTGTGCAGACGACTCTGAAATGGCCAACTACATTAGTGCCCACACTAAAGACTGTCCCAAGTGCAACATCCGCATTGAGAAGAATGGAGGCTGCAATCACATGCAATGCTCCAAGTGTAAACACGACTTCTGCTGGATGTGTCTAGGAGACTGGAAGACTCATGGCAGTGAATACTATGAGTGCAGTCGGTACAAGGAGAATCCTGACATTGTCAACCAAAGCCAGCAAGCCCAGGCCAGGGAGGCCCTCAAGAAGTACTTGTTCTACTTTGAGAGGTGGGAAAACCACAACAAAAGCTTGCAGCTAGAGGCGCAGACATACCAGCGGATTCATGAAAAGATTCAAGAGAGGGTTATGAATAACCTGGGGACGTGGATCGACTGGCAGTATCTACAGAACGCTGCCAAGCTCTTGGCCAAGTGTCAGTACACTCTGCAATACACCTATCCCTATGCGTACTACATGGAGTCTGGACCCAGGAAGAAGCTGTTTGAATACCAGCAGGCTCAGCTGGAGGCTGAGATCGAAAATCTGTCATGGAAAGTGGAGCGTGCTGACAGCTATGACCGAGGGGACTTGGAGAACCAGATGCATATAGCAGAGCAGCGGAGGAGAACCCTGCTGAAGGATTTCCATGACACCTAGGCTGGGACGTGGACGTGCTGGGGTGAGGAAGACGTGGCTGCAAGGTCTCCTGACTGCCATGCTGCATGCTGTAGGCTCTGCCTTCACGACCCCAGGCGGCAGCCAGGGCCCCACTCCTGAGAGACACTGGCAACACCTCCTAGTCATTTTACGTTTTCTTCTCATCTTCTTGCTTTTTGTTTCTACCAGGGTAGAGGCCATGTTGAATTGGCCTCTTTTCAGGACTTTTAATTCCCCCTGGATGATTGTTGGGAGGGAGGGAAAGTTTTTTCTGAATGGCTATTAATAGTATTAGATCATTACAACTTACGTAATTTTCAGAGGTTGTATGATTATACAACAAAAAAGGCAAACAAACCATAGGATAACACAAAGCCCCTTTTAAAAATAAATTGGCCTTGGAGTGTTTCAAAAAAAAATATTTCATTTTCTCGAGAGAGATATTCTATCTTGTCCATTAAGGATTTCTGTAGTTCAAGAATTTGTTTTTGAGAACTTCTTAATGTTCTTATCAATTGTTTGAGATCTGCTCCTTGCATTTCTTCTATCTCATCATCTTCATAATCTTGAATTGGGGTGTCTTTTTCATTTGGGGGTGTCATGGTGACTTCCTTGTTTTTATTACCTCGGTTTTTGCGTTTGTTATTTGGCATATTGGAGATATTTGGTTTCTTCACTGTGGTGCTTTTTCTTGTTATACTATGACTCTAGATTAAGTGGACTGTCTGTTTTTGATGGAGCCTTAGAGGCTTGAGATGGGTGTGGCCTGAGAGCTCTGTTTGGTGTGCCAAAGGTGACACTCCCAGGTTAGGCGTGGTAGATCTCTCTCTCTCTCTCTCTTTCTTTTCTTGATTCAAAAGGGAAGTAATTCCACACAGCTGAACGAAGTTGGAGGTAGTTAGCAGGCAAATGATATACCCACAGGAGCCAGAGATTGGAAGCTCTTTCCCAAGGACCACACAGGGAATCTGTTCGGCCCTCAGGGTGGGCTCAGATTCTCCTTCAGTCTCCCACTGGGTTGCCAAAGTTACGGAATTGTAGTATTTCTGGAGAGTACTCACATGAATTCCGTGAGTTCTCTCCCCCACCGTCTCTTTTTTCACAGTCTCAGTTCAGTAGCACCACAAATTTACTAGGTCCTAATCTCCTGTTAATTAGCCCCACCCAGAGTCAGGTTTTTCTGCTAGGCTCAGGGCCGGTGCAGACCTGAGGTCGCTCTGCTTATGACGTATGTCCAAGATGGCGCCTGCTCTTTGTCTTGCTCGCCCTTGAGAGGTGAGTGGAGAGAGAGAAACCCGTGTCTGTACCAGTCACCTTTTTCTCTCTCTCTCTCTCTCTTCCAGTTAGCCTGGTGAACTTCCCCCCCGGGGGTCATTCCCTCTAGTCTCCTCTCTCCGCTTGCCTGCCGGTGTCTCGGGCTATTGAGGTTCGGCTCACCTCGTGTTCCAGCGCTGGTGTGTTGAGTGTGCCGCTGGTGTCCCGAACTGTGGGCTCCCACGCTCTCCACGCAGGTCCACTGTGAATCACTAGTTCTGGAAGAGTTTCTTCTGCTGTTTCCTCCCCTACTCTTCCTTGAGCCTGCAGTATCTCCACTTTTATTAAACTGTCTCTCCCCGGACTATCAGTGTGCTCCCTTCCTATTCTGCCATCTTGCCTCCTCTCCTATTATTCTTTTTTTTCTGAATTAGGAATTAAGGTAATGCCAGCTTCATGGAAAGTGTTTGGAAGAATACTCTCCCTTTCGATTGTTTTGAATAAATTGGGAATAGTTGGAATTAGTTATTCTTTAAATGTCTGGTTTTTCTTTGTTGAAAGGGTCTTTACTACTGATTCAATCTCTGTCCTGGTTATTGGTGTGTTTATGTGTTCTATGTCTTCATGACTCAATTTTGGTAGATTGTCTAGGAATCTTTGTTTTTTTTTTTTTTTCCCCCAAAGGAACCTTTTATTTCATGAATACAAATTTCATAAGTACAACTTTAGGAATATAGTGATTCTTTCCACCATAGCCCCCTACCACTCACACTCCCACCCCACCTTCTCCTCCCTTTTCCTTCCCAGTCCCATTCTCTATTAAGGAAAAAAACTCGTTGCTCAACAGTCAAGACAAGAGCTGTTCAAGTCATCACTCCTCAAAGTGTCAATTTCACTTCTACAGATTTCCTGTTAGGTGCTCTATTAGTTCTCACAAATCAGAGAGAACATATGGCATTTGTCCCTTTGGGACTTGTTTTTTTTTAAGATTTATTTTATTTATTTATTTATTTTTTTATTTAATGAATATAAATTTCCAAAGTACGACTCATGGATTACAATGGCTTCCCCCCCCCACACCGTCCCTTCCACCCACAACCCTCCCCTTTCCCACTCCCTCTCCCCTTCCATTCACATCAAGATTCATTTTCGATTATCTTAATATACAGAAGATCAGCTTAGTATACCTTAAGTAAGGATTTCAACAGTTTGCTCCCACACAGAGACATAAAGTGAGAAATAATAGATGATTTTTTTTTTAAATGATGATGAAATCAGATCAGACCTATTGTCATGTTTAATCCCAGTGAGAGTCAAGTTGGGAATGATAATTTCTTTCTTTCTTTTTTTTTTTTTTACAGAAGATCAGTTTAGTGTACATTAAGTAAAGATTTCAACCGTTTGCACCCCCATAGAAACACAAAGTGAAATATTCTGTTTGAGTATAAATTTCCAGAGTACAGCTTCTGGACCACAATAGCCTCAATGTACAGCACATTAAGGACAGAGATCCTACATGAGGAGTAAGTGCACAATGACTCCTGTTGTTGACTTTACAAATTGATACTCCTGTTTATGGCATCAGTAATCTCCCTATGCTCCAGTCATGAGTTTCCAAGGCTATGGAAGCCCCTTGAGTTCTCCGACTCTTATCTTGTTTAGACATGGTCATAGTCAAAGTGGAGGTTCTCTCCTCCCTTCAGAGAAAGGCATCTCCCTCTTTGAAGACCTGTTCTTTCCACTGGGATCTCACTCACAGAGATCTTTTTGCCAGAGTGTCTTGGCTTTCCATGCCTGAAATACTCTCATGGGCTTTTCAGCCAGATCCGAGTGCCTTCAGGGCTGATTCTGAGGCCAGAGTGCTATTTAGGACATCTGCCATTCTATGAGTCTGCTGAGTATCTCACTTCCCATGTTGGATCACCCTCCCCTTTATTTATTCTATCGGTTAGTGTTAGCAGGTACTAGACTTGTTTATGTGCTCCCTTTGACTCTTAGTCCTTTCATCATGATTAATTGTGAACTGAAATTGATCACTTGGACTAGTGAGATGGCATTGGCACATGCCACCTTGATGGGATTGAACTGGAATCCCCTGGTATGTTTCCAACTCTACCAATTGGGGCAAGTCAGCCCGAGCATGCCCCAAGTTATACATCTCTTCCCTCTCTTATTCCCACTTTTATGTTTAACAGGGATCACATTTCAGTTAATTTTCAACACTTAAGAATAACTGTGTGATAATTTCAGAATTAAACCAGTCATATTAAGTAGAACAGACAAAAAAAATACTAGGAGGGATAATGTATTAAGTTGTCCATTAACAGTCAGTTACAGAGAGAGAGGAAGAGCCAGAGAAAAAGAAGTCTTCCATTCCACTGGTTCACTCCCCAGATGACTGCAATGGGCAGAGCTGAGCTGATCCAAAGCCAGGATCCTGGAAATAGGAGCCAGGAGCTTCTTCTGGGTCTCCACATGGATGCAGGGGCCCAAGCATTTGGGCCATCTTCTATTGATTTCCCAGGCCATTGAAGAGAGCTGGATCAGAAGAGGACCAGCTGGGACTCAAGTTAGTGCCCATATGGGATGCTGGCACAGCAGGCTGGGGATTTAACCCACAGTGCCACAGCGCTGGCCCCAAAAAGGCCTTCTAATTCTTTCTCTTTTTCCACACCTTCAGGAACTCTTAGAATCCATATGTTGGATCATTTGATTGTATCCTGTAGATTTCCAATCGTATTTTTTAGTTTTCTAATTTATTCTTCTTGTGTTTGGTGTGACTATATAATTTCCTGTTCTTTGTTTTCTAAGTTGGATATTCTTTCTTCTGTTTCCCCAATTCTGTTAATGATTTCCACTGTGAGTATTATCTGTTCTATTGAAATCTTCACTTTTAATATTTCATTTTGATTTCTCTTTAGAATCCCAATTTTGTGGCAGAAATGTTCTTTCATATCATGTATGGATTTCATTAGTTCATGAATTTGCATTTGATTACTCCTAAGTAATCCTATGATTAATTGTTTGAATTGCATTTCTGGCATTTCTTCAATCTCATCATCTTTACAATCTAGGTTTGAGGTGTTGTATTCTTTGGGGGGTGTCATGTTGCCTTCCTTATTCTTGTTTCTTGAATTGGTGCATTTATTTTTGGCATTTGTGGAGATACTTGTTCTTTTTTTTTCTTTTTTGGTGTGGTGGCTTTTGTCTTTGAGCTGTGTCTGAGTGACTAGTGTCTGCTTTCAGGGAATATCTAGAGGTGTCTGGTGGGTATGGCCAGGGAGCTCTGTTCTGTACTCCAGGGTGAAGGGTGTGTCTGAGGTGACACATCCAGGTTTGGTGTGGTAAATCTCCTTTTCATTTTTAATCAGAGGGGAGGTTTCTTCTTGTCTGTTTGCATAGACTTAGCTGAGCTCCTCACCTCGAAAGAGGCCAGTGCCTGGGTGCTAGCCCCAGTGAGTATATTATTTGTCCATTCTGCCACAAGAACCACCCAAAGGATCTGGACAGTCTTCAGTGTAAGCTCAGATTCCCCAGCAATGTCCTTTGCCAGGTAACCAGGGAGCCCTGATCATGTGGAGCCTCCCACAAGTAACTGCTCTTGCCTCAGCTACACCCTGAGTCCTCCCACGAAGCCTCAGTGTTTTCACAGTCCGCATAAACAAGCCTCCCACAGTCATGAGCACCCAGCTCCCTGTCTGTTCTCCCCACCACACTCAGGAGTCTGCTTGGCTGGTTGCTGGGAGTGGACACAAGCTGGCACAGGTGTTACATATGTCCAAAATGGCACTTTCTTGGTGTCAGCTTGTTACACGCCTTTGCAGCATGATCAGGGAGAGAGAAAATATGCCCCCCTTTGTCTTTTTTTCTCTGGCTTGACAGGTACACTATCAGGGCTCCAAGCTGAATTCCTTCTAGGCTTTTCCTACACCTCTTTTTCCAGTGGCTTGTGCTGCTGAAGTCTGGTCTTACTTCACTCTCCAACACTGGTGCAGAGGCTTTCTGCTGCTGGACTCCTAAGTTGTGCATGTCCTTGCCCTCTAAGTAGTTCCATTATGTTCCTCCAATTTGTGTAGTTTCCTCTGCTGTTCTCTCCCTAACTCTTCCCCGAGACTGCACTCTTTCCACTTCATTTTTAACTGTCTTCTCCTAGACTTGGGCCTAT